TCTACAACCAATTACTATGCTACTAGATCTTCAGAATACCTACCTCATAGAAACTGATGCCATAACTTTATAAATTCATTATCAGTGTTAAGTTTTTCATAAATACTTAAGATTTATCAGTTTTGCAGCAAGCTTGAGAAAAATATCAAGCTATACAAAATTTATATTAAACAAAACATTATTGAATAAGCAATAAAAATAAAGAAAATCTGTTATCAAAATTTCAGATCATTAATTTTCAAGTTTTTCCTTTCTGTTCAACAAATATTTCTAGATGGAGACTTTCACAATATGCACCATTTGATTTCTGCATTCAATTTCAAATCACAAGCTTCAACATTTGTTTTGTGGCCAAAGTGAAAAATCAAAATCTACAAACCTCTCAATTAGTGTAATGTTTGTTCACCGAGTAGAATACTTAGCAGTTGGTACTCATTTTTGTTCAAAGCTCATATAATAAGATACTTGTTATATAGGAATAAAGTGTCGGTGCCAGCACTTGGGTTTGAACACAGATTACCAGTGAGCAAACACAGGCAATTCCATCATTGAATTAAGCAGATCACATGACCATAAAGGAAATGCATAAATACGAAGTAGCGTGACGTCTAATTGATCATAATTTCTGTTCCATCCTCTATTACTATACAGATCAATATTCTCGATACTGATCACTATTCGGTGGTTGCTTTTCAAGAGTATTACTGAGCAAGTACCATTAGTAGTAGTGTTATTCAAAGGTTTCTAACAGTATTGTTCAACGGTGTTACTATAGTTGTATCTGATTACAAAGTCTACTACAACGAGCATCACAAAAGTGGCAATGAGTGTTTGTTGACATCAAAAGTGACAAGTGTTCGCGAGGATTCTTTCAACTTACACAAGGAAAATTAATCTGCAAAACATTCAGCAGAGTACAGTGGAATGGAAGAACTAAAAGCTATCATGGTTCAAATATTGGCACTACAAAAACAAGAACACTTGCAGCAACCAAAACAAGAACAGCAATTACAATAACAGGAGTTTGAGTTGTTTACTAAAACAATGGAAGGAAAAAAACTTCATTCACTCCAGATGCTGTTGCTGATTCAATTAGTGAATTAATAAACAATCAAGATGAAGGGGGTAACTTATCCAGCTTATTATGGAAAATACAAAGGGATCTTCAAAAGAGATTGTTCACATTGGAATGATGAAGAGAAAGTTATTAAGGAAATTGAAAAATATGTGAATTATATTTTGCATAAAAAAAAAAAAAAAAAAAAAAAAAAACTACAAACATTTTTCAAATCAAGTAAAAAAAGAAAAAGAGAAGACAAACCCCCTTCAATACCTAATACTTGCTACGGTTGTGGAGGTAAGCATTTTAAAAGCGATTTTTTTCTTCAAGAACAAAATAATGCTCTGGATGTGGGAAATTAGGACACAAAAATACGTGTTGCAGATAAAAAAAAAACAAAACAAACATACATATGAACATGATAAGTACATGGAGTAACAATAAGAAGTATAAAAAGGGGAAATTAACAAGACACCCCCCCCAAAAATTTTAAAAATTGCAGCTGGATTCAGGATCTGATATCTTACTTGTTATAAAACGCAGATTGTGTGTGTGTGTGTGTGTGTGTGTGTGTGTGTGTGTTTATATATTGGATTGGATTTCCTACATTTTTCAACTGATTTCAAAAAACTTCTTAGGGCTGCGTAAAATTACCTTGTGGTAGTTCTGACACCGCCAAAAATGGGAAAAACACAATGTTTTTGCATGAAATCAATTTGAAAACACGATTAAGTTGCCAGAATGAAAGGGGAACAACTCATATTGAGTTATACTTATAAAACCCAGATTGTGTGTGTGTTTATATATGGGATCGGATTCCCTACATTTTTCAACCGATTTCAACAAAACTTCACTTTTTTTTTTTGGCAGGTAGTGTTTCTTATTGTCTTGCACACTTTTCTTTATTTTTACATTCAGAATGCTTTAAAAATTCCATTTACAAGACAATTGTTTATAATAAAATTCTATTCAATCGGTAGACTCATAACGATTGAAAACAATGTTTTTGTTTGAGTTTGACCAATTCGTTAAACCAAAAAAAGAAAAAAGAAAAAGAAACTAATTAAGACATGCGTGTCCGTCAACCTTAAACAATAATCTTTGTCAATCTTATTTTTCAGTCTTTATGATGGTCGATACTTGATCTATCTCTTACTGTTACATCCCCAGGCAACGCCGGGCTCTACTGCTAGTCACTCATAAATGAGCAAACATGGAGAAAAATGAGTAAACCCAGTTTATTGACTTCTGATAAAGTTGCACACTGAGTCTCAAGAAAGTGATTGAACTTTTTGGGTAAATTCAGTTGTAACACTTTTGTTGGAAAAAACAAAAAAGTGGTGGTGTTTGTATTAAAGAATACTGCTAATTTGTTTGGAACAGACTGGAATGCATTGTTTGATCTTTAGGACCTTCCAATTAACTCTTTTTGCAACAAGATAAATATTGTTACCTCCAGTGCTAATACCGAAACTGAAAAATTGAAAAGTTAAACTGAAAAGAGTTTTCCAGAAGTTTTCTCAGAAGGTCTAGGCACATGCACAAAAGCAAAAGCCAAGTTTGATTAAAAGACAATGTAACACCAACATTTAAACAAAAAAGGACTGTACCTTTTGCGTCCTTAGATCCAATTAATAATAAATCGGACAAACTAGAAAAATTAGGTGTGATATCAAAAATACACTATTTTGAATGGGCATCACTAACAGTCTACACTAGGAAAAAAAATAAATAAGTAAAATAAAAGGAATAATAAAATTCATGGATGTGCTGATTATTTTTCAACAGGGTTAAATGAAAGTTTAAAACAACTACCCACTACCAAGTCTAGAGGAAATTTTTGCCAAATTGATTGGAGGTAAAAATTTTTCTAAATTAGACCTGTCAGACACTTAACAAGTACTAGTGGACAAAGACTGCTCAAAATTATTAACAATTAACACGCAGAGGGTTATGCAAATTCAACAGGCTTCCTTTTGGTATAAAGGTAGTACCAAGCATACTCCAACAGATAACGGACATCATGCTTGTTGGTTTGGATTGTGCTCAAGCATATTTGGATGACGTACTTATTAAAACTAAGACCTGAAAGCAACACGCAGAAGATTTAAAAGAGTATTTGAGAGAATCAAAGAATATATTTTTAAGATTAGTGAAGGAAAATGTGAATTGTTTATGTCCAGACTTAAATATCTAGGACAAATTATTGATGAAAACATTAGATGACCGGATCCTTCAAGGGCAAGCACGATAAAGGACATACCCGCTCCAAATATAAAGTTATAAGCATTTTTAGTGTTTGCTAACTACTATCTTACATATATACCTAATATGCACGAATTATGAGCACCCTTGAATAACCTGCTGAAAAAGATGTGAAATGTTATTGGACAGAGTGCTGGGGAACTATTCCATTGAACTACAATTATAAGATGGAGTTTCTGCCATCCAAAAAATTAAGTCATGCAGACGGATTATTTAGACTAATACCAAAATTCTGCAAACCACCTGAAGACACAGTAATTGTGGCAATAAGGGCTGAAAATGAAATAAATAATGTATTATATAATACTGTAACATTTGAGGAAATAAGAATCAAGTTGGAAAAAGATTTTATAATGAAAATGAAGCAGTTAAGATTTAAAGGAAAAGTTATTGGAAATAATGCATTTTCATTATGTAATGATGTATTTATGTATGCAGAGATAGTGATGATACCAGCATTGTTGTAAAAAAAAAAAAAAAAAAAAAAAATGTATGCTGAAAGAATTTCACATAGGTCATTTAGGAATTTCTCGAATGAAATTCCTAATGAGGTGTTGTACTTATTGGCTCAAAATGGATCAAGATATCAAAAATTAAGTGAAATCATGCAGAGTGTGCTCTGGCAGCAAAGTCACCACCTATCAAAATTCAACCTTAGCCGAAAACCAATATGCCATGGTCCAGAATACATAGAGACTTCACAGGACCGTTAAATGGATCATACTATCTATATAGTGGCACACTAAATGGCCAGAAATATCAAGAAGTAAAAGACCGACTACCGCGGTTAACAATAAATTTCCTACAAAAGTTTTTTGCAAGGTTCAGTGTTTTAGACTATCGTTTCAGATAACAGGACTCAATTCATGTCTAGTGAATTTAAGTTTTTTTGCAAATCATTAGCAATAGAACATATTACAACACCCCTTATCACCCAAGATCAAATGGACAAGTGGAACAATTTGTCAATATATTCAAAAGGGCACTAAAAAAGTTGGAGGGAGATTAGTCAAATGAAGAAATGCTACAGTAATTTTTGAGTGTTTACAGAATAACACCAAACCTGAACACTGGGTCTGAAATGTCACCTGCAAAGTTGATGTTCACCAGGAAGATTAAGTATTTTTAATAAATTATTACCAGAACATAAGGTGAGAGCATCAAGAAATGACAATATAAGCAAATACTTCAAACCTGGAGATAAGGTATTTTTAAAATGTATTAATGTGGAAAGGAATTCTGGAAAGATTGCATTTTAAAAAACGGATCAGCAAAATGACATACATGGTACAGGGACCAAAATGGGAACATAAGCGACACCATAAATAAAATATATATAAAAAAAAAAAAAAAAAAAAAAAAAAAAAAAAATAGCGTGATGTCTAACTGATCACTTGGTTACTTTCCAAGCGTGTATTATTGAGTGCTAGTCAAAGGTGTCTAAGGCCAGTATTGTTCAATGGTGATTACAAAGTCTGCTACAATGAGCATTATGAAAGTGACGATTATTCATTGACATCGCAAAAATACTCAACTGGAATCAAAGACTTAACATCAAGGTTAATGTAAAGCAGAGTTATTTAATTTTTTTAACTTTTAGAAATGAACATCTTACAGAAATTAATAGTTGTGATACAAGATATTTTAAAAAATGGCTGAAAGAATTCTTACTTACCTAAACCTTTTTGGCCAGGATTTTTTGCATAATTGAAAGTAAACTGGTAGAACTCTTTGAACTTTGCATTGTCGCGGATTATCTGTTCCAATGATGGACATTTATCACGGAGTTTATCAGCTGTATCACATCTAAAATAAAGAACATTCTAAACAGCCTTTAAAATCTTCAGTGTTTGTTCAATGTAATTAAGAAATGAAGTTCAAACAATTTGCATTGTGCAGAGAATTAAGGAGGAAAAGATTTTCCCTGAATGCGAGCAGAATTAGTGATTTACTTAGACAGCTTAATAGACAGTGGCTTTGTTTAAGCATACCTCATTATCTGGCAGACAGGAGTTCAATCTCCTGGTTGGGTTATGTAAAGAGCCATACACTAGTTCAGCAGAAAAGTCAACTAGCACCACAAAAATTAAATCATGAGATCTCCTTTAGTATGGAGAGTGAAATGGGAATAAGCTATTCTTATAAATTGAATAAAAGAGTCAGTCTGAAATTTCCAAGTTACCAGAAGAAGGCCAAAGGCTACAGTGGCTGAAACATAACAACCAAGATGAGATTGAATAAATCAGGAGTGATATCTGTGCCATAAGGAAAAATGAAATACATACGTATGAAAGTTTGATAACATTTTAAAATTTACTCAGCATAAATTTTGCTTTCATTTTTTTTTTTTGGAAAGAGAAAAAAATTTTTTTGCATTAAAAATAATTGTGTTATTAAGTTCATTTAAGTTTCCAGCTTTTCATAAAATTCCAGATGTGAAATTCCAATCCTAGTTACATGACCATTTGCTTTGTAACATTATGACAGTTTATGCAGCAAAATACATACCATTCAAATAAGATATTGCAAATTAACAGCTCTTCTAGGTACCGATTTTATCGGTAAATTTTCATGTTCTTGGGAAAGATAGAGTGGTTTTCACTTTCCAAAGTTTAGAATCCAGTTTTTCTCTAAAGAAAAAGTCCAGTCTACCCAGAGCCAAGGAAATAAAGGGATTCATGTTTCTAATAATCTACAAATGTCAAATCTTTATGGACTAGTGAAAATATAATGCAAGAGGAAACATTAAATTTCCAATGAAGCTGTAACTAAATTTCAGAGTGCATGGTGAATATTCATTTTGTTGAATGAATTAAAAAAAAAAAAAAAAAAAAAAAGTTATCCTACATATTTGAGTAGGCTTTATTAGAAAGACAAAAAGTTTCAATCAAAAATTAAGCATTAGTAAGAAAACAACTTACCCTAATTCAGTCATTCCCTGGTAAAATTCTTCACGAGTGAATTCACATTGTGTTTCAGCTTTGAATTTCCAGGCTATTATCAATACAGTCCTTGATTCAGGATTTAAACCAAGATCTTCAAGGAAACGGCATACACCATCTGCCATCATTTTATCCGTTTCATATGGATCTAAAAGAAAAATTAGATGTTTGGATATACAGAAAAAAAAAACTTTGTTAAAATTGAAAATTTCAAATAATTATAAGGAAAAACAAGGGAATTTTAAAGTGTTAATTGAATGTAAGATTTTGTTTGGGAAGTAAAATTTACAGAACAAAAAGTTTAATATGGTATAATATTCATATACATCAACAACACATCACCCCACCACCACAAAAAAAAAAAAAAAAAAAAAAAAAAAAAAAAAAAAAAAAAAAAAAAAAACAAACTCTTGCACATGTAAAGGAGGTTTCTGTTCATTAGTGTTCATCTGAGTGGATCATGCAAATGGAATTCTTGAATAAAGAATATTCACATTGCCATCAATTATAAACTGAAGTGAAAAAAATGAAAATGTTTAACATCTACAAAAGAATAAAGTAAATACAGCAATACATCAGGAGTACAAATGGTTAGGTGGCTTGGTGTAATGGAACCTGGTTATTAAGAAAATAGAGTCTTCATATAAGGAATCTAATTCACCTTAAGGAGCAATAAATTCAGCTTCATTCTGCTTTGTATTTTCATCAGAATCATGACTGTTTAGATTATTTACATCATTTGAACTGTTGCGCTCATGTTTATTGCCATATTCATGATGTTTCAGTCACTGTACACTGGCCCTTTTCAGGTGATTGAAATTTTAAACTGAACCCTTTATTTCGTCCACCAGAGTAGATTGTTCTAGTTGTATGCCTCTTCTGGATGTCTCAGTTATCTCCCTTTAACTCAACAAGGGTTTGTTAACCACTACAGTAGCCATATATTGAACTCACAACTTTTTGGGTCAAGTCACTGGATCCAACCAACACATTTATTACAATACCTCATATCAGAAATATAGACAGATACTAATATTGTTATCAGATACTTTCAGGTTGTCAGAAGCTAAGAGTGGATCCTGGATTTCAGACTGGCTATCTCATAACTTACTGGGGCTAAACTCAAGTGACACTTGTCTCTTTGCGATTATATGGACATAAGAATTTGCCTTAAAGTGTTCCTCGCCAACAACTTGGTCATGTTTTGTCTGATATAATGCACCAAAAGGTAACAGTTTAGCTTTAGTGCCTTCAAGATACTATGAACAACAGAGTCTATATTGAATGCCAGAGTTACTGCCTGCTATATAATTTCATTATACCATTTATAATGTCCTAAAGGATAAGCGGTAATCTGGATAGTGGAAATTCCACGACTGTTCAAAACGTTTCTTACATCTCATAACATGAATGAAGTACCTCTGCCTGGATGTGGATGAATAACTGGCTGAAGCAAGATGTATCTGGATAGGCAAACATGAAAGGAAAGCAAAATAACTTGTCTATTATGGCCTATAGTTTATTACTGGTTAAGTAAAGATTATGGCAAAGGTTATTTAAAATCAGTGCCAAGTCTCAAATGCGATCACGGGATCAATGAAACTAGTTTGTATTAAACACAAATTGGACACTTTTTAGGCCTAAATTAATATGCCTATAACACTTGGATGCCAAATTGGAATCAATAAAACAGTATACCCGAGAAAGTATCTGCATTAATATTATCCTTCTGAAGGCAGTACTTCGGTGAAACAGTAGCAAACAAACTGAACCCTTATCAATTTACATGTCTATTTAGAATCAAACATATCACAAACTTCTGATCAGCAAGCAGAATGAAGTTAAACAGGGCTCCCATTATAGGATTAGCCTCTATCGCAAAGAGTCTTCGTTTACTAGTGTTCAATGTCTTGGAAATAAATATTCTGGTTGACCAGACACAGCTGTCTTTGACAATCATTCCAAAATCAAACATTTCAATCCTGACCACATCCCATAGCCACACTACTTTATCTACCTATTAGGTGATAAGTAGATCATCTGGTCGAGTCCAATTTTACAAGTGAAAGCAGATAAGTCATCTAATGCACTGTTTGTTTAAATTTTGGGGGGCATTTCAGTTTATATATAACACACATACACACAAAAAAAAAAAAAAAAAAAAAAATAATAATATCAAGATGAAAAAAAAAAACAAAAAAAAAAAACATCTATAACAAAACTAATTTGGGCTAGAAACCAATGGGACAAAATGTTTAAAGATTGCAAGATGTAAACCTAAGTTCCATTCGAATAGTCCCACTTCTTGCCTGTGGAGCTCTTCCAGCTTCTTGCTTTTTTGTCAATTATGGTCTTCAAAATCTGCAACATCAATTGCCATAGTGTGTGTGTGTGTGTTTTAATTGTTAATGTTCTTTTATTGTCCTTTCTACTCAACATTGTCTCAGTTTTTTTTACTCCCAGTAACCACCTTCTCATCTTAGTCGCTTTATCGCCTTGCTTGAAGAGAAATTATTACAAAAAAAAAATTGAATGTATTGTACACTTATGCGTTTAAGTTCCTACGGAAAATACACAAAAACAAACGACATTTTGTTACTCATTTTTTAATACTTAGATCATTAACTTCTAGTTAACAAAACATTCATTTGAGTCACTTTTGTATTTTTTAAACATCAACTTCCATATGAAAACCTGGAATCCGCCTCTTAAGTATTTAAAGTTTATGTTACATTTCAAAACCTTCGGAAAGTCCTTTGAATATTGAAAGTTAAAATGTAATGAATTCTTTAACATTTTAAAGAATCGTAATATATGAGAGAGAGAAAAAAAAATGTATGGTTTGTATCCATATCTATCTTAGAAACCAAGTTATAATTCCCCCTCATCCACCGCCGACAAGACGTTTCGAGATAAAAGAAATTCTACAGGTTGCAATAAACATGCTTGATGTTTGTCAAGTTGTTAACTCGAGAAGCAGAAAGAGAAAAACATTGCCAGTTACTAACCCTCCAAAGATACATTACCAAAGCAGAGTGCTTTTTCGTGTTTCTTAGATAAATGACGCTTAGTGTTAATCAGAACTCAATCCAGAAATAAAAGATGCTATTTCGTGGATCTGTACAGACTAACGAAGGAGAAAATTCATTTGGTGAGACAAGTAAAGAAATTTCAAAAACAAAAGAGAATACAGATAAAAAATTTGAAACACCCTTCCTTTATTTACAAAAATAAAATAAAAATGAAGACATTGAACTTGAAGGATTTAAATCAAAACTCACAAACAAGCACAAATTGTTAGTTTGTGAAAAGGCAACAATGAAAAGAATACCATTGGTATTAAATTAACGAAGATCCATTTTTTTTCCTCACCAGGATGAAAAAAAGTTTTTAATTTCTGACATTTTCAAAGATTTTTAGCTTGTTTCTTTCTTTTGAATTGAAATGAGTTACTAATAAAAATTAAATGGATTTAACTGGAAAATGACAGATTTTTAACTCGTAAATACTGATTTTATAAAAAAATGACATCGGATTTTTAAGAAAAAATTTTTAAGTAAACTAAAAAGGGAAAAACGGGTAGTAATTAAATTTATAATAGACAAAAAAAAAAAAAAAAAAAAAAAAAAAAAAAATTTTAGAATTGTGTACTCATTTTTACTAAGACAAGAAAACAACCAGGAAAGATATTAAACAAAAATTCATGTTTTTGTCAGAAATCAATCTAAGTTTTATTCACTGGGTTGGTTTATTCATTGGATCACTGGAAAGTACTAGCAACACTACTACTACTACTACAGGTAGTAAAAAAAGACGAAAAGCCGCAGTTATCTGCCCTTGATTAAGGTGAATCTTCAAATTAGAAAAATTAAGCCCTCTAATTTTATGTGTAGAAACAGCTTTTAATTTGTGGAATTAAAATAAAATCCATATTTGCTTCTAACACAAACAAAGGTAAACAACAAGCAGACGATGTTATTCTAAAAAGGCTGAGATTGATATCGTTTTCATGTCTATGAGTACATAGTTTTAAGTTTTCAATCAAATTTTCTAAGGGTAATCACATCTAGCTACACAATATTCATAAACTAAACAGGTTTTCTCCAGCTTATTTCGTTATTTTGGACATGTTGTCATCCCTAAAATAGAAACGAAAAGTGACATTATTTGTTACAGCAATAAATTTACCACAGAAAAGTCCGCTACTTACTAGATTCACTTTTACTACTACTAATAATGGAGCCTTTTCTAATTTGACAACCTCTACCGCTTCACGAACAAAAAGTGACAAAAAGAAGGGATGTTATCAGTTATGTTACCTTTATATCTAATCCACAGGGCATCAAGCTTCCGTTTGTCAACAGTCGGGGGCCGTGAATGGTCCGTGTTGTAGCGATCGGGATCTTGAAAATAATTATCCACGGCCACATCTAGCTTCCAATCGTGGAGACCCAAGCAGATAATGGCAACCTTCTCACTAGTTTGCGTGCAGGCAGTAAATTGCCGAACTTTGTCCTTCTGAGAAGTCTTCAGCTTGTGCTATTGGGAAAGAAGAGATGAAACAGCAGTTATTCGAGTAGGTCTTCCCCAAATAATTACTACAATGCAACCCCACAGCTGAATAAACAACACTCACCATATTTCTTCCTTCATACTAACTTCACCAACCGGTCACCAGCATCTAAGTCAACTGAGCATGCGCCGACTATAGTCAACACTCACAAATTACTTATTATTTATTTTAACGTTTATAAAATATAATTCCATATATTTTTCGCAGTTTTATTACTTTTTAGGAGGATTAAATTACAAATTTATATATTTTATACTGAAAATCTAAAACCACGTTAGAACGAAATTATTGGAGTCACGTGATTGTAGATTTCCCGCCGTTTTGGAAAAAAGTTTTCCAATTTATTGTTGTCTTTAGTTGTTTGCTTTATAATTTGTCACTGCGAATTTTCTACAAATTTGTAAGAAAATGCCTTCCAGAGATTACATAGCAGAGAAAGGTAAGTTAAATAATAATTTCAATATAAAAATAGACCTATTTATTTTGTATAAGCAAACTATTTGAGAAGAATATTTAACTTTGAAATTTAAAAAATAATTATGATGAAAAAATGCTGAGTTTTTTTTTTTTTTTTTGGCGGTAAATGTTAGTTGGATAAATATTAAGAACTAATATCTTTTTTTTTTTCTTGTTTTTATACATTTTAATATGATTATTGTGATTATCGTCTACACTTTCAACATGTATAAATATGTTTTATGCAGATGAATAATCTTTTTTAAGTTTTTTTTTTTTTTGAGACTTTGTTTCTACATAAACTGAATATATTCTGAAATATAAATGTCGAGTTATATTTTGTTAAATTTTCATTGAGGTTCGATAAAAACGCATATTGTTGAAATATGACAACTTCAAATTCACTGTATTTAACTTGTATTTTTAATTTAATTTTAAACTTTTTTTATTCGCTTAAAATCACATTTTATTTTTAATCTTAATTTTAAAACTTTCAGATGTTACGAATCTTGAACTAACAAAAAAACGAAAACCTTTAATTTCAATTTCATTTCGGCTTTTTCACTGATTTGGTTTACAACTAGGGTTTTCAAATTTTTTTCTTTTTTCTCAATCAGTACAAATAAAAATTAAAATCCACCGTAAAAAAGACAAATTGGTGATCAAGATTCTCTTGACAAATGCTGGTAAATTTATTATCAGAATTATCTTTTGTTGAGCATAATTATTTAATTAATATTTAACGTTAAGAAAATGACTTCAAAAAATCTGATATTCGAATAATTAAAAAGTCGTATGCAGTATCTGCTAAAATGATTTTTGCAATTTATCTTAAATCCGTTTTTTATGTCAGTGTTTTTATTAAAAATGTAATTATTTCGCGCCAGGTAGAGAAGAAATGATTGAACTTAAATTTCTTGTATAAAAACATTTCGGAGATTGTTGAAAGGTTGATTTCAATTCTGGTATCGTCGGTTTTTTTTCAAGCCTTAAATAAACTTTGAAACACATGATGAACCCTTCTTTTAGTAGGAAAGTAATGCATTTGAAATCGCGTTCGAAATGCAACCATTTTGGCTTTTACTCCTTAATGTACAACGGTACAACAATGTTTTTATTTTTTTCTATTAAAATAAAAAATTAACGGGTTGATAGTAAAAAGAAAAAAAGTCAGCTATACTCAACCAACATGTTCTTGAAGTTGAACACGGCCAACAAATCTCTTTTGTTAATTTCTTGTCAATACTTTAAATAAAAAATATCACATTTATTTGCTACTGTCAGTGTTCAAAAAACCAATTGATTTCTTTCTTAAAAATAAAATCATAAATTTTCTTCCTAAACAAGATTGGAAAAAATAATGATCTTGCTGATAAAGCCTAATTTATTTCGGTTTATTTCAATTTGTAAATATCTAGTTTAATTTTACTGTTTATTCTCTAATGTTAGTCGTGTCTTGACAGAATTCTTTTCACTGTAGTGAATCTTTTGGAAAATGTCTGGGAGACTCCTAAGATTTAAATGTCCATGCTTTTCATTTCACATTGTAGTTAAAAAAAAAAAAAAAGTTTTGTAAATAACACCTTTTCTTTCTTCCTACAGTCTTGAATTTACCAATTTCTAATCAAGTTTAAAAATGCATATTAAATGATTTTTTTAATGTACAAGTGTTGTGCTTGATTTTAAAATAAGGTTCAAATCAAAGTTTGTAATATTTATTGATAAATATTACAAACTCTTGTCTCGGTTTTCTTCAATAAACACTCAGTTGATCTGTTGTGATTCTGTTTTTCATTTATAACTTAAAAATGAATAGACACTTTTTTGTCAAATTTTCATTCACCTGAATTTAGAGATTTACAACACGTACTTTGTATTGTAGGTTTAGCAATTTTTTGTTTTGTTTGTCTCTTTGTAGTCCTACTATTGATATTCTTCTTTTTTTTTTTACTTAAAGAAGTAAACTGAAAATAATTTCCAAAGTTTGATAATATACTGACCCAAATATTTTTCTTGTATAATTTTGAAAACAGTGTTTGTTTCGAAGGTCTACTAGTTGAACATTTAAATAACTGATTTTTTTTATGGTAATTGCATGTGTTAAGTAAGTAGTTACAAAAAAGAAATATTGCTTTAAAAAACAAAAAAAAGTAAAAACCGAATTAACTTCTTACTCTTGTTTGCAACTGGTCGAACGATTTGTGGGCCATCTTTTTCATTGCTAGGTAAATGAAATGAATTATTTAAATATCAGTTTTGCTAATGTTTCTTTATTTTAATATCCCCCAACCCGGCTAAATATTAAGTGACGTTAATATAGTTCAGTAAGTATTTATGTAAAGGAGACTGAATCTGTTGTCTCCCTTGTATTTGCTGATTTGACAAAATGGATTCAAGGGAGACAATTTTAAAACTTAAAATCGAGATTTTTTTTTTCTTTCCCTTGTTCATAGGTTTCTTTATTTTTCCTATATTTAATAACTATAATCCTGGAATTTTGTAATTGTCCTTGTATATATTTTTCTGTATATTCTTTTACTTTTGCTAGTTATCTTAAGAAAATACTAGAAAAGTGATGCAATTTCAAAATTATAATATTTTTTATAATAGAATTTAAAAAATATTGAATTTAATAATGCTATGAAAAAAAAAAATTCCATTGTATTTCTAAACGAGGAAACTGAAAACTTTTAGTTTCTTGAAAATCCATTGTTTTTGTTTTATTGGATTTATCTACCAGATTTACTTGTCTATATTTGTACTTGCTTGATTCTTGGGTAAGCAATCATTAATTTGGAATCTTTGTGTGTATTTTTTTTTCTTAAGATAACACACCAACAAGCAAGGAGAATAAAACCTATTTTATGCTATAATAAGACACTTCTTGAAACTGAAAATTTACGTAAATGTGAGTCTTGGCTTTGAACACGAAAGGTCTGGAGAGTTTACAGTTCATTATATCACTTCACACTGAACTATAATTTGCTTGGAGCAAAATATTCACTTTTTCTATTAAGGAATCCTTCAGGCCGATTAGAATATTATAAATAGTTGGAGTACATAAGTAATGAATATTTCTTCATTTTGTTCTAAAATCACATCTTATACAAGATGATTCTACCTTGGAAATCAGCAGTTGTAATCTTAGATTTAAATCTGGTTTGAACCTTGACTATTGGCATTAATGACAAACATTGAATGAATGTGTAACTTTCAGTTATAAAGCTGTCCACTTTTTAGTTTAGTCTGACACAAAACTCTACATGTGAGGTGCCCAGTGAGTCAGATTCTGTATAGTAATAATGATCTGTGATTAGCTTAAAGTACCTACATATATCTCTTTGTCTTCAGATAAAATCAAGACCTTTCTTCGAGATTTCTATGTTGATAATGATGCTGGGAAAAACTTTGTTTATTCTAAACAGTTGGTAAGTATTTTTTTTTTTTTTTTTTATAATCATTTCAGGCAATTTAATATTTAAGTTACTAATTTTATAAATTAGTAAAGCACAAAAATTATCTATATTGCACAATTCATCACAATTGGAGCAGATTTATAGTGTGATAAAATAAAAATCGAATTGTTTAATAGAATCTAGTACAGTGAATTTTGGGAGAAATGCTATGAACACCATCCCTAAAATAAAATACGGGGTATGGCAGAAATACTTCCCATATAATAAGGCATTAGCTAAATGAAGACACCATTGTCACTAATGTCTTAGCATTATGCAGAAAGTATTTCTGCAATACCCTGTATAAAAATGGTACTCTAATGCTTTGGAGATGTTTTAGTGGGAATTGAACAGCATTTACTTAAAATTGTCAGAAGCCTGGAAAAATTTAAAAAAAAAAAAAAATCTGCCGGACACTGTGTGTGTGTGGTTGTTGTTGTTTTTTATTATTATTATTCAATTTAATAGTGTGACATTTCACTTTCCAACATAAAAATGCTCCTGAAAATGTGTTTGCTGATGAATGCTTTGTTCTAAGCTGGATTTGAATCAAAGAAAATTTGTGGCAAGAACTTTGGATTTGTTCAAGGCAACCTTCAAATTCAGCAGTTAGAGCAAAGGATGCTTTCAAAGACTAAAAGAATATGATGAAATTTATTCTATTAATCAAATGACCATTTCATATTCAATTGTATCTAACACATTTTATTGTATACATTTATTCAATCATAGTTTTGTTAATGACAATACAAGTGAATGTATACAATAAATTTTGTTTGGCAATAAACAGTTGTTGCAACAATACACAAATATAACATTGCCTATTTTGTTTCTCTTCTATTCATATTGTGTAGAATAAAAAACTTTTTAAAAAGGATTATCGTCATATTCTAATATTTTTATAATATCTGAATGTTTGCAAAGTGAATTATTTTAAATGAAATTGCTTGTATCATACAGGTATTTCTTTTTGTTTTTCAATTTTAACCAAAAGTATTTGGCAAAATAAACAAATCTGAACTTACAAGTTTGAAAAACAAATGTGGAATAATAAAAATGCTTTGTCGTGTGGAAAAGTTCTTGGACAACCAAAGTCCTTCCCCAAAAGATATTGCTTGTTCCTTTTAAGATTCACTTTTCTTTTTTCTTTTTCTGTTCTCACCAGTTGTCTCTTTATCCAATATCTTTTTCACTATTGTGATGGGTACATATTATGGTTAGAACAGTTCATGGCACTTCTCAAAATGTTTTTGTTTTCTTTTTTTTGCCTCCCACAGCATAATACTTGTTTGCTTTGCCATCTTATGACCCTGCTACCATTAAACAGCCTGTCAAAATTGCTTGTTTAATGAAAATAAATTGTTACCTTCTTGGGGAAACTTGGCAAGTAGAGCCGATGACTACAAACAAACATTTACTTAGCTTGAATTCTAATGAAAAAGATTCTTGTACACAAAAATACCATTGAGCCAGCCTGGCGACATCTGAGGAGCCAAGAAATCAGAGCTCATGACTGGTTTGTGCTTTGCTTCTCATTTTACCTTGTTTGCCCACTTCCATGCATGTGTGCCACATTCACAAATTGTATTACATTTTTCACTTAGCTGAAAAGTGTTTGCTAAAAATGTAAAACAAAATTCAGTCAAAGCAACATTTTATAAATTTTTTTTTTTTTTTTTTTTTTTTTTTTTTTTAAATAGAAAAACTTGGCTCATCGTGAACAAGTCAGCTTGGTTATTGATGTAGATGATATTGTGGATTTTGATCCTGATTTGGCAGATGGCATTGTTGATAATACTCAGAGGTACACCCTAATCTTTGGCGAAGCTGTTCAAGAACTCCTGCCAGAATTTAAAGAGAGAGAGGTAAGTAAATTATATTAAATAATAAACATTGGATGTTCTACATTTGTGCTAATAGAGGACTATGGAAATAAACATAAGCACAAAACTTCAATGAGAAGATAATCAACCAATTTAAAGAAAGCATATGCATGTAAGGCAGAATCTTAAAAAAAAAAAAAACATTGCTAATCTTGTAAGTAAAGTTTTGCAAGACTTGAACAAAGCATCTGGATTATTTTCTAATTGTAAATATGAGAATAAGAATATTATACTACCTCATCTCAATCAAGTGTTTATAGATTGTTGTATGCAAGAGGTGTACTATGTGCTTGTTACAGGTATTCCAGCAAAGCTGTACCAATTTCAGCTAGGTCTGCAAAGATGTGAAGTCTGGCATTATCCTGATGGAAGACAACAACATCTGTCTCAATAAGCAATTCTGGATGCTTCTTGTTAATTGGTTCAATTGGGAATTCAGCAGCTGATTTTACAGAAGGAGCTTATATTACAAAATCTTTCAATCTCTTCAGAGACACATCACCTTCAGCTGCAGACCATTTTTGGATTTGCTCATTTAATTTTTCCTAGGACTTTTTTTTTTTACTCTGCATTGTTGTAAACAATCCATTGAGCAGACTCAAAGATGGAAATGCAGTCTCTTAAATCATGACGCACTCAATTTCTCTACTTCCTAATTATCCTCCATTTGCCCTTGTGCCAAAATAAATTAAGGTTAGTAAATATAAATTGCTTGGAAATTTGAAATGTAAATAGTTTTTTTTTTTTTTTTTTGTTGAAAAACATTAACATTAACTGGTCCTATAAATATTGGCAAAAATGAATGATCAGGTAATTTTGAATTTGTGCAAAATTTTTTTTTTTTTTTTTTTTTTTTTTATTAAAAGAGCAATTATGACTTGTGTTATGAAAATAATAAATATTCTAATTTTTTATCATTAAAGTGGGTAATGTGACTTAATATAAATATAGGTTCAAAATATTCCTTTCAGATTTAAACCTGGGTATTTTTCTTTTCTTTTTTTTTTTTTTTTTTTTTTTTTCCCTCTCTCTAATGGCTTCTTGCTTGTTCTGACTGGACGATTTGTACAGCCTCAGATGTGAGATGAGGCAGATGTTATGATTGGAACAGGTATGGGAACATTAGTCAAATATGGATTACCTGCAAGCAAGTTTTCAACATAAAATGAAAATAAGTAGCAAAAAGACAATTGATATTTATGAAGTCAAAGTAAATACTTTCTTTATTCTGATCTCCTACAGCTGACAACATACCTTTTTGCTGCTGTGTGTGGCTGCATTTTATTTTGGCATTTTAACTTTTTAAGTGTGTAATTAAATTTTGCTTTGTTTCAGGTGGTATCCAAAGATGCCCTTGATATTTATATTGAGCATCGTTTGCTGATGGAACAAAGGAACCAGCGTGCTGATGGCGGCCAAGCAATTAATAGAGATCCCCGAAACAAATATCCTCCTGAGCTGTTGAGAAGATTGTGAGTATCTAGAAATTTTTGGACCAAGTTGTTGACTGACTGGGCCAAAAATATTTCCAGAAGATTAAAAATAAAAAATTCATATAACATTTAGCATAAACTTATGAATTTAAATTGAAAAAAATAGACAAGTAGGAAAATGCACATTTATAAAATGTAAAAATACATTTGGTGGCAACAAACAATTCATCCAAATCAGTTTTGTTAAATTCAACTGACATGGTCTGTTGGTTCAAATTTTTGTGTTGGTCATTGGAATCAAAATTGTCGATAAACTAGTGTTGTGTGTGTGTGTGTTTTTTTTTTTTTTTTTCCCTTCCCCTTGCTAAAATTCCAATATACATGTATCTTATGAATGATGTTATGTGTAAAATAATGTGATACAACAAGCTAAACTGCATAAAAAAAAATGATGTATGATTTATAGGTGGTAACATTGAGAGAAAAAATACCAGTATGTAGCCAACAAAAACTTGTTTACCATACTGACAACACTCAGTTCTTGATAATGACTGAGATGGTTGAAAGTACATGAACTTGGGGGCAATTTTTCCATGATTTTTTGTTCTAATGTACAACTCATCAAAAAAAATTGGGAAAGATACACCCTGTTAGTTAAATTAACTAACTTGTTTACAAACACTATTCATTCTTAGAATAGCAGAGATAACTTTGATCTGAGCCAGAGTACATGATTCCTGCACTGATCCTAGACAAAAGTTAGATCCAGTTTCATCTTATTGATTAACACCACAAACAAAAAATTCTGTGTGTCTGTAGCAAGGTAGAATACATCACCCATCTGAATGATTTCAGTGAAACTGATGTGATTGCAGCAGGAAATTCAACAGCATGCTGGTGTAGGCAATGCAACTCTCCTATTGGAGAATGTAAGCCAAATGATGGTATTATGAATCTGAATCACACCCACACTTTTTAGGATCCTATTGCTGAGTGTCATCACCCTGGAGAAATTCCAAGCAAGCCAAGAATCCAGTGGCCCCAAGAAAGAGAGCTACTTGGTCGAATCAGGAACTCTCATTAATACTTACCATCTATAAGGTTTCATTTGCCAGAACATCAGATCCTTCTGCAGATTTGTGCACACAATTTGTCTTGAGTGGTTTGGTGTGGTAACTGCAAGAGAGGATAGGGAAGCAGAAGCGACCAAATAGATGACAGATTCAGAAGGGTAAACTAAGAGCAAAGAGTTGTGAAATGTCGACTCAACCGCCAATTCTTGAGAGGGCAGGTCTCAAAGACATGCTTAAGGATATTACAGAAAGAATCTTCGTGATCTCTAGAGCTGAGAACCAAAGAAGATGAAATCATTCCACAATAATCCTTACACTTTTGCTAAAAAGCTGTTCACTAAGACTAAGAACAGCAAACTCAACATGCCACAGGAGTAACTCTAGAACCACCAGAGGATGATGCATTCTGATGATGCAATCTCTCCTATGAATGACCTTTGTGGGCTCCAAGATCCAGATGTCATGTTTAATGACAGCAGACTAAAGCTTGAGAAAAATTCAGGAATTCATCTTCAAATCTTGTGCTAGTAATGCACCAGGAATAAATGGAATATACTACAAATTATATAAGAATTGTTGAAACGTCCTCAAGCAAATACCTGTCCTCCTCCAGTGGGCATGGGAACAAGATATTGTACCACAAGAATGGTGCCCGACAGATGGCATTTGGATACCTAAGGAAAAGAATGCAAAAGCATTGCAAATTTCCACCCCATCTCCCTCTTTAATGTAGAGGGGAAAATATATTTTGGGATTCTTGCTCGATGCTAGGTAACCATTATGTAAACAGTTGTCCAAAGGGCTGGGTTACCTAGCTTCCCTGGTTGTCTGGAGCATTCACACATGATTTGCAACTCTATCCTATCAGCCAAACTAAATAAAACTGAGCTTCATATAATTTGGCTTGATCTCACAAACATAGACTGGATCAGTTTCTCATGTGTCAATTCAAATGTACTTTGAATTTTTCAATTTCCCTAGTAAGGTTGAGGAAATGATGAAATATTTCAGAGCAGTGTTTATGCAGTTGGCCATTGGCAATCCCTTGAGCCTTGCATCATGATAGGATGTATGTTTTCGCCACTTCTTTTCATTGTGTTCCTGGAGCTCATATTACAGGGTGCAGCAGACACAGCAAAAAGTCATGACTAAGTAACAAATGGTACTTCCTCCTTGCAGAGCTTTCATGAATGACATCATTCTGGTCCCATCTAAGCTTGGTTCTGATGAACTGCTGCAGTGCTACCATAAGTTTTTTAATGTGGGCGAGAATGAAGGCTAAGCCCAAGAAAAGCTGGAGCTTGTCCTTACTCAGAGGCTCTGTCAGGGAGATTGACTTCTGCGTTGGGGGTAACCTGATCCCAACAGTCAAAAAGAAGCCAGTGAAGAACCTCTGATGGCTGTGTGAAATTCCACTGATTGATCGGCACTTGGGTAAAGACATGCAGAAAGTGGCACTAGATCGACTTGAATCCATTGCCAAAACCCATCTCTCTGGCAAACTGAAGGCTTGGTGCTACCAACATGGTTTATTTCCCTGGATTCTGTGGCTATTGCAAATGTATGATATTATGCTGTCTCACAATCAGAAGATGCAGCAGTGTATCAACAAGTATCTGCATAAATGGCTTGGAGTTGTCATCATTGTTCCCCTATATTTCCAGTTATATAGAGAAACTGCTTGTTGAATTAGCTCACCTTGTCTTCTCAAACCTGTTAGATGGCATTGTATAAAGATCTATAAAAAAGCAAAGTACATAAACTTTCTTCCACTTTTTTGATCGATCAACCATAATATGGTAATCACAAGACCTGTTTCATTTCCCTTTTTAGTCACCAAGTAAACCAACTTTTCATTCAACTGAGCCACATGGTGCATCACAAATACAATTTCTCTTTTCTGAGATGTCATTCTGTATATAGATATATAAAAGGACGTGTATTAAATTCCTTTATTTTGAAAATGTTGACACGTTCAATTGAATGTCATTACAATAGGTGCCTCTCATCAGTGGGTTTAGTGTAAAATGTTGGCTTTTAAATTGTAATTTGATGTAATGTTAATGATTGTATTGATAATTATTGTCAAGGACACATCAAATTGCAAGAGTTTGTATTTGATTATTGAACCAAATCCTTTTGTTGTCACCATAACATTACTTCTATAGCCTCTACACAGATAAAAAAGATGAAGGGAGTTTCTTTCTCTTGTTAGTGTGAAACAAAACAATGGATTGAACACACTGTTAATATTAAAAAAAAAAAAAATACTTTGGTAATTAGATGATTTTAGGAATGATAACGTCTCATTTAAAAATTACAAATGTAATTACCAATAATATTTTATATATTCTATAGATATGTATTTAGGTAGCAATCCTTCATTCATACATGGTGCTAGAGAAAAGAATGTTTAAAGTTTTACTTACTAATTTCTGTTTTCATGTGAGTAAGCAATTTAGTGTGTTAGAACTGTCTATAAAAATTTGAACTCCCAACATTTTTTTACCATTTCCTAGATCTAAATACATAATGAATTGATGAAAAGTTTTTAGGGATAGTTAATTTAAAAAATGATACATAAAAAATGTTTAATATAAATTAATAAATTAAAGGTTTTTAAGTTATATCTTGTTCCATTGCAGTGAAATATTTTTCAAGGCCACTTCTCGTCAGAAGCACTCCTCTGTGAGGGATATCAAGGCCGATAGTATTGGCAAATTGGTGTGTGTCAAAGGGATTGTGACAAGAGCCACTGAAGTGAAACCCAAAATGTCTGTAGCAACTTATACTTGTGACACTTGTGGTAATGAGACTTATCAGCCAGTGAGTTGATTTTGATTTAATTTCAAATTAACACGTTTCAGAGTTTTATCTTTATTTTGAATGTGAAAGTCTTAGAAAACTTAAAAATATGCAATCCACAGATTGAAGCACCCCCCCCCGGGGGGGGGGGGCAGAAAAACATTGACACCTGACAGAAGTTAATGATGAATGTTGTAGGAAAAAGTAGTTTGCATAAACTTTATATTACTTGAGTCATTTTTTTCCCTAAGATGGATGATACTCTGCTTCAATCTCGGGCAAATTTTTATTTTATTATTGGTGTAATTTTGACTTTATTTATTAGAAATATTCAAATTAACAATGTAAGGGTATGCTGAACAGCCTGACCAAGAACTGTCGCCCAAAAATCTGCATTTGATCATATTTTAGGAAGTACATTGTTCAAGAACTTTAAAATAGAAAAATAAGTAAATTCAGCTTTACATGTTGAACAATTTTATTTAATTTTTGAAACTTTTATTAAATAAATTTGGATCTTTACTCTTATTTTGTCTCCTGTCTGATTAGTTTTGGCAATTCATTCATTTCTACACGTTGCATAATGTCTGCAATGGTATTGCAACAAAATTTCACATTTCCAAAACAAAGATTGAAAATGTTTAATTTCTTTGTTTTGTTGTTGCAGATTTTACAAGAATGATGCACTTGACTGTATTTGACATTAGTGTTTATATTGTTTCCTTTTCCTTTTTTTTTATTTTGTGAATAGATAGCATCTCAGACATTTATGCCACTACTGATGTGCCCAAGTCAAGAGTGTACAACCAACAAATCTGGAGGAAGGCTTTATCTCCAAAGTCGAGGCTCCAAATTTATAAAATTCCAAGAAGTAAAAATTCAAGAGCATGTAAGGATTACATAGTTTTTCTATCTCTTTTTGCCTGCTCTTTGTGTGCATGTCATATATATATATATATATATATATATATATATATTATAAATTGATTTAAAATGTTTTTTTTCGCTACACAGTTCTAACCATGTTTCAAAAATATATATATGTGCACTTGCCAACCTATTTCAAAAATTAATAATTATACACTAGTGTGAAAAGGATTCTATCACGACATGATTATCTTTTGTCTCTCTTTCTCTTTGCCTCTTACTTCTCTCTTTTAGTTTTGACATTTTCTTTTTCTATTATGAAAATAAGTTTTTGCTACTTGTTTTCAGAAAGCCATCTCTATTATTAAAGTTACAATTGTAAGCAATTAAAAAAAACTGCATAAATATTTCTCTTGTAAATTTTGAAAACTCTTTTTTTTTTCTATTGTGGACAATTTAGCCAAAATCAACTTTGATATATTCTTTTTCCTTTTCAGAGTGATCAAGTTCCTGTTGGAAACATTCCTCGAAGTATGACTGTCATTTGCAAAGGTGAAGTTACCAGACAGGCCCAACCAGGTGATCATGTCAGCATCACAGGTGTATCCTTTCTTTTAAGTTTTCTTGTTATTGACTTTGTTCATTCATTTCCTAGCATCAAATCTGGGCACAACATCAGCTCAGATGAACATTGATATGCAAAGTCAAAACTGGTTTGAAGATGTCAAAGTAATTTAGAGCAACAGAAAATGGACAGTAGATAGCTTTCAATTATATAATGCTTTTCTAAATGTATCACTATCTTGTTCTAGATTTACATTTTTTTTCTCTTTCTTAAGGTTAAGTTTACATGTCTGTTTTGAAGCTGAAATTTTTAAAGTCTTTTATGAACTTTTAAATCTCGGTAATTAAAAAATGTGTGTGTGTGTTACTAATTTATCTTATTTACCAGATGCTCATTTTAAATAAAACTCAATGATTTCATCACACAAGATAGGACTGGCCAAAACTAGTGGTATGCTTTGGCTAAAATTTGTTTCTCAACCTAGGCTGTTATTAATTTCTCTGTTAAAAGAAAAACTGGGATAGCAACACGATCATGTGTAAACATTAAAAATCCTGTTTTTCAATAAGAAATAACGTTGGATAAAAAATTCCTTCAAAAATCTCACACACACACACACACACACACACACACACATCTGAATAGATTGTAATTTAAATAGCTTTTAAATAGGAATAAAATCTTGTAACACAGACTTAAGATTTTCGAGAGAAACACATTCTTCACCCGGGGATCGCAAACCATGCTGAGCAACAGCTATGAAAAGATAATGTGAATAAAGTAAAAAAAAAATTGTCATTACCCTCTTAAATTTGGATTTTACACCATTTGAAGCAAATTATCTCTATTTGCCAACTACTGGTCTACTCACTAATGTTTTCTGGCTAAATGCAGTGTTGCTTGGAATACCATTTCTTTTTCTTAACTCCATTTAAATGCTTTGATTGTCTAATTTTTATTGTTGTGACAAGTCTGTTTTTCACTTATGTATAGGCCCAGTAAATTTTCATATTAGTTTCAGCCTCACCAATCGCTGCAAATCTTGTTTTCTAACAACTAAACCAAAATATTTCTTCAATCACCAATGAAAATATTGTCCTTAACTGAAGTTCAGGTATTCCTTCCTATGATGAAGACTGGTTTTAATCAAATCACTGCTGGTTTATTGTCTGATACTTTCCTAGAAGCCCATGTAAGTATTTTTTTATCTTGCATGATATTGTTTGATTAAAGTGAATTTTACCAAACTCAGATTTTTATTATTCATTTATTACTGGGATTTATTATCTGTTAATATTTTCCAAGAACTTTCAACTCTTATTCACATTGAAGTATTAGAAATCTAACAAAGATCTTTTGAATTTAGAGCAAAATTGAAATGCTTAAAGATTACTTGCTGTATGATGAGATTGAAAAGATTGGAGAGTGTATTTGTTGAAATGCAAGAAGTTAAATAAATTCTGTGTCTGAAAAAGTCATGAAATGATTCCATTTTATTGTTTTGGTTGCAGAGGATTGTCAAAATGAACAAAACTGAAGATGATGAAATGGATGCCCAAGAACTGACTGAGGATGAATTAAAGACTGTGGCAGGTTTGTACTTCATGCACACTTCTGTAAGACCATAGAAAGTTCAAATATTTGTTTTGGTTCATACACTTTGAAATACTTAGAAAACCAAGGAGGAATGAACACTTTAATATTAGTTTGTTTCATGCCATTATATAGCAGGGATTGTTTTTAGTCAGTATTTTGATTTAATAATTTTTTTTTTACTCTGGTTCTTATGGAATTGTTTTATAAGACTTCAGAATTTTTTTGTGGCATCAAAAAAAAAAAAAAAAAATTAGCGAAAAGGTTTTATAAATCTCTCCACTAAAATCATTAGTATTTGCTTACATTCATTTGATGTTAATTTATCAATGTAAATATTAGGAACTTTACCCCCCCCCCCACACACACACACATTTTCTCCACATGACAGAAAAAAATAATGAATTTTTGTTATTGTCTCTCATTTTTGTGATGTTTGTTTCTAAACCACAGAGGATGATTTCTATGACAAATTGGCCAGTAGCATAGCACCAGAAATCTATGGACATGATGATGTAAAGAAAGCGCTTTTGTTGCTGTTAGTGGGTGGTGTTGATAAATCTCCTCAAGGCATGAAAATCAGAGGTAAGTTTTTTTTTTTTTAGTCTGACAGTGATGGTCAAAAGGGTGTCTTGCAAACCATTGCACTATAGTGGGACTAATTGATATACTGAACCTTGCTTGTCACAAAAGTGTAAGGCACACTGGGGATGGAACTATCTTGTTAGAATGTATCAGTTTGTCAATTACACTGGAAGGAGGGTGTGCAAGTAGCATAGTGGTTATTAGTGTAGAAAGTAAAATTTGTGTACTTCGTTAAAAAAAAAATTCTACCTAGGTCATTGTTCACTTTCATAGAAATACTGTTGGGGAAATTATGAATCCATGTATTTTTTTTCTCTCTCTCTCTCATTAGAGGGGTTAAATAGTGGGGATAGACTTTATTAGCTTCAGTCAGTAATCATTATAGGAGGACAATGTTTTTTGAATTTAAAACTGGCAACTCTATCCCATAAAAACTGACTTACTGCAGAAACTATAGCAGTAATATCTAACATTGCGAGGGTGTGGCCCTATTTTCTCACTGGGGAGGAGGGAATTTTCAGTTGATTGAATGATATATCCATTCTAAATTATCTTGGTAATTTAGACCCCCCCCTTTTTTTTTTTTTAAATAAAAATAAAAAAAAATTGCAATAACTAAAATTTTGGGCAAGAAAAATTGAATTTAATGTGAAATAAGACAGTAACAAGATGATGCAGTAGATTAATAAAGATGATTTTTGTGACCCATGGAATATGGGGTGGGTGCATAAATTTGGTAGCATAGGAATTGAATTCAGTCTCTGGGCCAGGTAGTACAGATTCTGTCAGTGATGAGCAATAACTGAGCAGTAGTTATGAAATAAAAAAAAATGTAGCTATCACTAGACATGGGCAGCAGAATTAGAAAAACTCATCTCTAGACTAAATAAAGGTTGCCTAGATCAATATATCTGAAGTGGATAGGGGAGAGTGCAATGTCTAAAACATTGAAATAATAAGACATGCACATTTAGTTTGAACAAAAAACGTAGTTTAAAAGTGAGACAAGTCTGGATTTTAATCAAATAAGGGATTGACTTTGGTTTTGTTCTTGAAGATTTGTCAATATTTACAATGTCATTATTCATAAAATTTTGGTTAAATTTCACTTGTGTTTAAAAAGGGAAACACTTGTGAATGTCAGATTAAAAAGTATGTTTGCCCTTCACATATCAGCTTTCTTTCTCATTTTTTATTATTATTTGCATACATTAACAGCAACATAAACCTATTATTCTGAGTGGCTTTCTTTTTCATTGCAGGCAACATCAACATTTGCCTGATGGGAGATCCTGGAGTTGCCAAAAGTCAGCTGCTTTCATACATTGACAGATTAGCACCAAGAAGTAAAGAGTAGTTTATTTTTTAACTTTCCTTTAATTTTTAAGCCTGCTGTCCCTACAAAAAAAAACCCATGTTCAAGCTGCTTGTTTAATTTTGTTTATAATTCTACAATTTTCTTTCTTTCTCTTAGTTATTGTGGGAAATAATCATCTGTCTATAATTGGGGGGAAAAAATTAATACAATTCTTAGAGCAATAAAAGAACAGTCTTGTTTACAATGAAGCTAGATGTTCATCTTTTTAGATTTCCTGTTTCTTCGTTGTGTAAAAAAAAAAAAAAATTTGCTGGATATGACAGTTGCATTTAAAAGAAAATCTTGGACAAGAAAAGCAAAAATTGATCATGACATTTTCCAATCTGTGACAGTTCAAAGAAAACTTTTTCAAGGAACAATTGTTTCTGAATCATTAACATTGTTGTAAACTGGATAGAAAAATTTGATCCCACTTCAGGTGAAGGAAAATACTCGGATCCTGGCTTTAAAAAGAAAAATGTCAGTGGAACAGGTTAATAGATCTTTTGAAAATTTTAAAATTGTACCAACTGTTGATAAAGCCATTTGATGAAAGTTATTAAGCATTAAAATATACTGTTATTGGTAAATTTTCTTTTCTATCTGTTGCTCAGTAACAGCAAAAATCTCAAATACCTCTTATTTTTTTTATTTTAAATTATTTATAGTTTAATGTGCAAATAATTCTTTTTCAGGTCAGTACACAACTGGACGTGGTTCATCAGGAGTTGGCTTAACTGCTGCTGTAATGAAGGACAATGTAACTGGTGAGATGACCTTGGAAGGTGGTGCTCTTGTCTTGGCTGATAAAGGCATCTGTTGCATTGATGAATTTGATAAAATGATGGATGCTGATAGAACTGCAATTCATGAAGTTATGGAACAGCAAACCATTTCCATTGCCAAGGTAAGAGTATTTTCTTTTATGAAATATTTGAGCAAATTCTCAATTGAAAATCCATATTTCTGAACCGGATCTCCATTGGTGTAATTTGAACTTTAAAAAAAGACTTGACTGTTGTGCAACGGCCCAAGATTATCTCCCGTTAATTATAATCACTTACCTCCCTTAACTTAGCTTTCTCGGATTAAACGAATTTTTTTTTTTTTTTTTTTTTTTTTGTAGTTCTAAAATTTTAATTTTCAAAACGATTTTTAGATGGAGTTAATGTAAATAGTTTACCTGGGGAGCTAAAATTATAGTACTTGGCACCCAGCTCTTGCTGGTCCAACTATAGTCATCTTTCTTTCACCTGTAAACCTATCCACAAAATTAATATGAAAATGTTTCACTTTTTTCCTTTTTACATTTTTGTTCATTGTTATAGGCTGGAATCATGACAAGTTTGAATGCACGGGTTTCTATCCTAGCTGCAGCAAATCCAGCCTATGGACGTTACAATCCCAAGAAATCCCTTGAGCAGAACATTCAACTACCAGCTGCTCTGCTTTCACGATTTGATCTTCTCTGGTTAATTCAGGATAAACCTGACAGGGAGAATGATCTTAGGTAAGGAGAAAAATCTTTATAGAAAATAGGATTTGACTCGCACACATTCTCTATCTCTACACACACAATGAAGATGTGAACTCATTTTGTATTTCAATCACAACAGCTGGATATGTTAATAAGAACTAGTATTGCTATTTATTATTGGGTGTTTTTGTTATTTAGTGAGCACAAGTATTCTGATTTCTCAAAATACTCTTAATCATTTATTAAACTTGGTTATATGGAATTTATTGGGAATTTGAGTTGGAAGACTGTTAGCAAATTTTTGTTGCTTACCTTAATCAACATTCATTGTCTTTTTTATATATATATATATATATATATATATATATACACACACTGTTGTTCACCTAATACAAGAACCACTCAAAGTAGAAGATTGATTGATGTTGTTGTTAGAGTATAATGGAAGAAAGTGTATATAAAGATATGTAGGATAGATAATGGTTAAACCTAGACTTGAGGTTAAAATTGTACTGATAACAGAAGCATCTTCTTGGAAGTCTGCTCTACAAAGAGTATGAGGATTGGTCAATCCAGTGTAACCAAGGAATGTGGTAACATGGAAAATAGTTAATCACCCACAATGCTGTGGAAACCTTGGATCAAGGTGGTGGTGGGCAGGTCATGTTGATGGGAAATGCACACTAATACTTCAATCATGAGGCAAATCTAACAGATATTTACTAAGTTTAGCCTGGCACAAGGCCACTAGTGTGAGGATTGAAGTTACTATGGTAGTATGTTTGCTTGGCTTGCTGATTAGTGTTACAAGAACACATCTTGTTTAACATCTTAAGCTCAAAACTTTGAGTAACAATATTTATCAAATGTTTCTGTTATTAAAAAGTTATATTACCCAACCATATTCTGATTGATAAGGAAATTAGCAATTGTCACAATGATTTTGCTCTTCCATATGATACAAAAGTAGATACCAAGTAAACTGGAAAGATCTTGCTAGAAGATTGGAATATTACAGTTGAAATGATTCCTGTACTAATTAAAATCTGGATTGAATCTAAATTTGCAGACCTTGCAGAAAACTGCCATCCTTCATTCTGAGCATTCTCCAAAAAGTATTTGCATTGTCAGGAATCTTGTTGGCACCCTGCTACAAAAACGGAATTTCTGTTGACTGTTATCAATGTGCAACACCAAAATAAAATAACAATATTTTCAGAGACAAGCTCCTTCATTCCTATTTGCAAATTACAATGTCCAGGCCATTATCTTAAAAGGTTGTTTCCTCCATCATCTGTCTATGAAATCTGCTATAGCATAAAAAGTTTATTGGTTTCATTTCATATGTGCCAGTAATTGCTGAGATTGTGGAAGGAATAACCAGAATAGCTTCACTCCCATTGCCAAGACTGAGGGGAAATATTAGCTGCCAACCAATTCCTCCACTTTGAATTGAATGTATCAGTTTTACATTAGCATTAATTGCTCTTGTGCAGGTAAATTAACAAAATAGCTAATTATATGTAGAATATGAGTACTTATAAGGGCTTTTAAAAAGTTACAAAGACTATTTATTTATTTTTTTTTTTTTTTTAAATCCTTTATATTTCATATTTTTCTAAAATTGGAATTTTTATTTAAAAATTTCCAAATGTTATTGAGAAAAAGAATATATTCAGTGAATTAAAAAAAAAATTGATAACTTACTGTCTTGTGAAGTAATTTTCAAGTATTCATAAAAGTTAGCTGCCCCCCCAAAAAAAAATGAGGCTGAAGACTGTTAAACTTGTTCTTAATAAATCCAGCCTTGAGTACTAAAGATAAATGTAGCAGTCTTATGTCATAGACTCTTTGTTAATATTTATTGAGTGTTTGGGGTTTTCTTAAGTTTAGAAAATGTAGGTGTATTATTTTTTTTACTAAAATAATTGTTTTTTTTTATTATTTTTATTAATGCTTCAACGTCAAGGTAAATATTAATGTTCAATTACCCATTATTTAATTTTTCATATTTATATTAGTTGGTATCTTAAGTATTAGGGTATTAATTATAGATTGTTTATAATTTTATTGTTTGAAAATGTATATACTTAGATTTATGCACACATGTATCTGCATTTATATTAATATATTAGTACATAAATGATAAAGCAAAAAAAAAAAAAATTATCTGACTTGGTATGTATTTGATTTTTTTTTATTTGGTGCTTAGATGTATTTATTAATCAAACAGATTTTATCACTTTAAATGTTACTTTTAGTGTCTACTCATATTTGAGTAGATGCTCTATTTTATTTATTAACCAGTATATTTATTTTTGTCTACCTACCTGAATATTTGAGACTGCATATTTTTTTTCTTTAATAAGATTTCTCAAATATTCAGGCCGGTAGGTGAAAATGAATAAATGGAGTGTTTACTCATCTATTCAAATATGAGATTCACTAAAAGTGTGCGAGTTTGAGGTTTGCAAATACTTTATTTAAAAATGAAAAATCTTTCTTGAAGCTTTTATTTTAATTTTGAGGTAATAGATTAAATTTAATATTTTCAATAAGCAATAAGAATTTAAATTGATTGGAATGTCTTTTTCTTTTTTTTTTTTTTTTTTTTTTTTTCCATCATCATTGTTATCATTATAATAAAAAAAAAAAAAAAAAAAAAACATTACAACCTCAACTTAATTCTCTTTATTAGAAATCTTTCAAAAATAAAGTGTAAACTTTGAGTAATTTTAGCCAATTTAAAAATGAATCTGATTTGCAACAAATTGATGTAAAGTGTTTAATATGAAGGTGGGCATTTTTATGAGATATTGACAACTTTCAACATTTATATTTGGGAATTTTTTCTTAAAGGGGACATAACTATTACTCTACCATAACGTGAACATTTTTTTTTTTTTTTTTTTTTTTAACTATCCAATAATCATAAAAATTGAAGAAAATATTCTAAACCATGTCATATTTTATAGAAATTTTACTATGGCTTTCTAGCTATATTAAGATGCTTGTTGAGGAAATGTTAGAATATTACCAATAAATGTTACTATAGTTAACTTTTATTTTCCGATAGTGTCTGGACATCCATATTCACAAAAATTGACACTTTATACACACACATGATTAGTAAATTCTTAATTAACCAAAATTTTTAAGATTTCGGAAATAATTTTTTAAAAAATCACTTGATCTTTCCTCCTTAATAAAATAAGATTTTGGACAAAAGTTTTGGGCTTTTTTTTTTTTTTTTTTATGTTGCAATTCATATGTACCTTTACAGTTTGCCAAGGTCTGTTGCACTTCCTACTTTAAATACTTAACTTTAATTCCTATAGAGGCACACTGGGTGTCTGCTGTAGAATGATAGTGGGGTCTTGTATGTCTTTGAGTCTCAATTAGTGCTCCTATATTGTTGCCTTGACACAGATGAGGTTGATTTATTAAATGCATACATTTATGTTCATTTTGAGATAAATTATCAATTTGTTGTACTTTGTAAAAATTTGAATTGTAAATTGATGGTACACAATTTGTCCTTTTCTGATTGGAAGAATTTATTTTTTAAATTTTGTCAATTTTTTTCAATTTAATTTAAAATGTTTTAATTCTACAGATTAGCTCAGCACATCACATATGTTCATCAACACAACACCCAACCACCCACGCATTTTGTTCCACTTGACATGAAATTAATGAGGTAAGTAAATTACAATAACAGCCAAAAAAAAATGAAACTTAAGCTGTTGTGATTTAAATAAAATACATTATTTCCAAGTTTCAATTCTTTTTTTTTTTGTCTTAAATGCTTATTTATTCACAGATTTAAGAAAAAATCTTGGCAGTAATAAGAGTAAATCCATTGGAATTGTTGCTTAAAGAATGTCATTTGAAACTGGGAAAATGCATCTTTAGTTGCTTATTTGTAAAAGTTGTCTCTGCATGTTCTTTGCTCTCAAGAGGAATACTTTATACTTTGAATGACATGAATAGGATCAATTGTCTTTTTACATGTATCTGTCATTAAATAGCTCTAGCTATGGATATCAATTTTTATGGGTATTAATGGGGATATGGCAGAGTATGTCTTTTAAAATTCCAATATTTATGTTTTAAGTGAAATTTTTGTTAAAATGGACCCTTACGAACAACTTAGTCAAGTCAAATTTTTACCTTTTTGTTTTACCATATAAAGTAGACATTTCGTTAAATGTTTTCATTTGCAGTATGGCTACCTTGGAACTGATAATGTTTATTCTAATTCTTTGCGATTTTTTTTTTTTGGTTGATACAATAAAATATTGGATGGATAAATTGCTGGTAAAAATGTGGGGGTAGTTGTGACATTTCCCCAATTAAATGGGAATCTGGGATGTGATGATTTTCAAATAAAATACAATTCAATATTCATTATATCCTATTAGGACAAAAGATCACATTTAAGCTTTCTACCAGAAATAGTTTAAAATAAATTCTTTCCATAAGGTAAGTTTTCAACAAGTCTAAAAAATGTTATTTGAAAGCCATAAAACATTTCTTTTTATTTAATCAAAGTTGGCAACAGAAAAAAATGATTTCTTTTCTCTTGTCAAAAGAAACGATATTATTTCTAAGTGTTTTGTAATTTCTCAATTGAGTGATTATCAGTCAAAAGGATTTGTGATTTCTATTCTCATCATTCACTAATCTTGTAAACTTGTTGATTTATGTTGATCAAATGCTTGCTGGTCTTTGCTTGTCAGTGTTATGTTGTTGTTTCAGGAGGTACATTGCCTTGTGCCAAACAAAGCAGCCAGTAATTCCTGAGAGCCTGTCTGATTATATCACTGGTGCTTATGTTGAGATGCGGAAAGAATCTCGAAACAATAAAGACACAACTTTTACATCTGCCAGAACGCTTTTGGCTATTCTTCGACTCTCTACAGCTTTGGTTAGTATGTTAGTGCTTACCCATGTTTTCTCCCTCTCGACAATTCAATTTCCCTCACCACACTCCTTACAGCCCTCCTTTCTCTTTCTGTTTTTCCCCTCCCTCTTGCTTGACGTAACTTCAATTTACTTCTCTCTATTTGGCAGGCTCGCCTTCGCTTAGCTGATGTAGTTGAGAAAGAGGATGTTAATGAAGCTATGCGTTTGATGGAAATGTCCAAGGATTCTCTTAATCCTCAATATGATGCTTATGGACGGTGAGTGGAATTTTCAATTATTTTTAGTTTTTATCTCATTTAAAATGTGCAATACCTACATAGCTATTGACATGTACTAACTAAAAGTTTAAGGAATTTGACCAAATTAAAAAAAAGTTGCCCAAGCAAATACTGTATCTTAGCAAGTTAGGCATTATTAGTCAGCTGCATCTGAGTAAACATTAGCTTACAGGGTGTCTCAATTTTACATATGAAGTCTGGTATTTAGTGTGAATTATATTGCATTTAATTCGGTTGCTTGAATTTTTACATAGCACCTTGCAATTGGACTAGATTGTTGTATTATACTATTTATACTTGTGTATAAGCCAACCTCATGTGTAATGTGACCCCTGCCCCATATTCTTTTCTCTCTCTCTCCTCTCTCTTTTTGTGATTGTAAAACTTGTCATGTACTGGTAGACTTGGGAACCTTGGAGATGCTGGTAACTCGTTCAAGAATTAAGTAGTGATTTTTTTTTAATTGATCTAGGTCATTTCTGGGGATATTTTTTCTTTATTGCCTTTATTTGTTTATTTATAGCGTGTGTGTAATATATAATTTAACCAGTCTGTGGTTAATTGAGCTTGGTTAGGGTGCCTTATTTTCCATTTTTTTAAAATATATATATATATATATATGTGTGTGTGTGAATCCAGTATTTCTAAAAATGCTACAAAAGCATAGTATTTGAGACTACGTTAAGCTTATGAGCAATGTCTTGCAGGATTAGCTTGTTAATCACTGCTCTTTTATTATTGGTCTCTCCCCCCTTTCTCCCATATATATATATATATATATATATACCATCACTTGATAAGACACCAGGAGTGTTGAAACAAAATGGCTATTTTTGTAGTGATTTTTATAGCATGTTTGTTATAATTTTCAAATATATATGTTGTAAGAGAATGAACATTAAGTACAAAAAAATATTATTATTATTCTATTTTGCTTTAAACAAAATTTTCCAAGTGTAGGCCTTCCCCATATATGGAATGCAGTCTACATATTCTTTGTAAGGTTTCAATGTTAGCACATTGGTAAACTTAGTTGACAAGAACCCGATCTTCCCTCTACTCAATTTGCTTATCAGTTATCTCAATGGGAATGTGCCATATAGAAATGAATGTCTACAACTTTTCTATAATTAGGGTTTTTGCTACCTGTCTGCCAGAGCATCTAGATACTACACAACATCCAAAGAGGTGTTTGTATCAAATACAAAACTGAGAAGTTCTGGTCTCTCTCTCTATATATATATATATATATATATATATATATATATATATATATATATATATAATCTCTTTGTTAAACAATTTCTATATTGTTTATAATTTTGAAGAGTTATTTACTTAATTTATTATTTGTTTTAGTGTATGTAGAATCTTGTACAATGTTTTAATGAAATGCTAACTTTTTTTTTTTTTTTTTTTTTTTTTTTTTTTTTTTTTTTTTTAGGACAACCAATACAATCGATCAGGTATTTGCCATCATCAAAGACATGGCATCTGTAATGAAAGGCACCAAATCCCTGAAGATGGCTGATGTAATGGAGTTGTGTATGGCCAAAGGTCACAAACCTGATGTGATTGATGCTTGTATTGAAGAGTATGAGGAACTCAATGTATGGCATGTGAATGCTGCCAGGAACAGAATTACTTTTGTCTAAACTTGCTTTTTCTCTCTTCTCAACTCTACCTTTTTTTTTTTTTTTCTTTTCTTTTCTTTTTCTTTTCTTTTTCTTTTCTTTTAAATATATCATAAATCACAAAGCCATTTCAAAAAGTTTCATTTTCCTCTCTCTCCCCCCATCTCTCCCTCTTACCATTCATTTTCATTGTAATCTAAATTAGAAAATAAATTAATTTTAATATTAGGTTTGCCCAAAAATATTTGCTTCATTAAGTAAAAATAAAACCGTTTTTATTTTGGACTTCATTGGACAAAAAATTTTGTTGCATGATGTTCTGCCATCATTCATAATTTAATTGTCTTGGAAATTTATCTTTCTTGGCAAAGAATGTTTCCACGTACCTTTTTGCAATCCTCTCAGAGAATTAAAGATTTTTCTTTAACCCATTTAATTTTCTAAATGTAGCAGTAACTACAATTTTAGGGACAATCGGTTAATTTTTTTTATTTACTTTTTAAAAATATTTCAGATGAATTGTATAAGACCAGCTAAGTGAAGGGTTGATTACTAAATAATATCTCAAATCCAATAAATTAGGTTTTAGATCAGTTAATGAGACTGGTAACATAAACATTTATTTCTCTTGAAAATTATTTTATTTTTTGATCTCGTTATCATTTAGTGTGGTACATTTTCCAGATTTTTTTTTTTGTTTTTTTTTAAATTCTGACCATGAATTTGTAAACTTTGACATCAGATGAAAAATGTTGATCTCTAATTGTCTCTTCTAATTCTGGGACCAATCACAATTTTAATCCTACCAAATCACAGCTCTATGGAGGGTTTGTAACAACTGAGAATTTCTGGCTTTTTGCTGTTCATACAATTTGACTGCAATGCAGTCTAGTCTTATCGGGTTGGGGGGGTGGTTCATTTTGTGGATGTATTGTAGGAGTGCTTGAAAGGTTTCACACAATACCTTCACCAAATTAAACATCATTTTCTTTTCTTAGAACTTTTGTAACAATTACTCTCTTTACATACCAGATATTTATGAACATGATTGAAATTCCTTACTTTTGGAAAAGCAGGCTGATAACATTCCATTGATTACCTTTTGTTAAAGGTCATGATGAGGAACCAAAAATTTATCCCTAATGGCAATATTCATGAGAACAGTATTGGTTGAAGTCTACATTTTTATATTATTCTTTTATATCTTAATACACAACCCATCTGACATGATTTTTCTGTATTTCTCAATGATGTGCTGAATTCAATATTGACTGTCTTATTTCAAAAGTAATATCACTTTGCTTTATATTCCATTTTTGTCCTTTGTCTATTCTAATGCATCACTGAAATTTCAATCCTCAGTTTGCTTTTACTACGGCTTTTGTCACATCAAACCCTGTAGTGGATATTTTTCACATCCATAACACCTATTGCAATTTAATTATTTTGACTGATCATTACTTTATATCTAAGTCATGACTAATGAATACTAGTACTTGATGCCATTATGTAGAAAACTAAGTACATTTGAAGATGTGTAGTATTTGCCAGAATTGGATTTGCACTTATCACACCAGACCATCAGAGGAAGCCAGGTACATGGTTGACATGGAGGTTATTCATGGTAGCCGAATACATAACCTCACAGCTGCAAGTGTAGTAAAGATATTATAATTAGATGCAGTTATATCAACAGCTGCTCCAGAGAGGAGTCTGGCAGACACCCAGAGTAATGGAGTCCCTCACAAACATTCTCACTGTAACTGATGATGTATTGGGAGTGAAATAAAATGTCATGTTAAATATGAATGATTCACATCAAGTTATTGTGTTATCATTGATCAGCACAGCAGACTACATTACATATGTTAGAACCTATTTCTATATTCACTATTAATAGATCTTATTTATCAATTGACCCATGTACAATTATATTACAATTCTAGGTTTGACAAGTATATTAGTCTTATACTCATCACTCAAGATAATTAATCATCATAATCCCATCATTAATTTGGAACAACTGGTTAATTTTTTTTTCTCCGCACAAGATGAAACAAAAAAGTTTTAATATAATTACATTACATTTTTCTAAAGGCAATTAAAGACTAAAGAAAAGGAATAGTTTTATTTACAAATATTGGTGTGTTTTTTTTTTTTTTTTTTTTTTTTGATAAATGAGGCACACACATGCACAAAATTAAGCGAAACTTAAATGTCTTTACAAAAATTTTAATTTAATAATTCATATAAAAAAAATCGTTTAAAATTCTGCATTACTTCAAGGCAATTACATGATATTGTCATTAAGTAAAGACTACATTTATGAATCAAATTGAAAACCAAATATTATTAATTATGCATAATGTGCCCCCTCTTGGAAAGTATGGTGACCATATACAACAATAAAATAAGTGATGACTAGTAAATTTAAATTCAACATTAAAATTAGATTATGCAGAATTTTTTTTTTTAATTGTATATTTAAAAAAAAAAAAATTTCTTAAATTATGTCTTAACAGATAGTCTGCTCAGAACTAAGTGTCAGCACCTTGTCAAGTGATTTATGAGGTGTTAAGGTACTGTTTTAAAAATCCATTTCTGTTCTTTAAACTTTTTTTTTTTTTTTTTTTTTTTTTTCAAAATCAGATTAAACTTTAAATCAGCTAATATTTCTCAAATTTTCAGAAAAATTGTTTTTGGAAGATTTTGAAAAATGAGAATTAAATTGTCTAAAATGTCAAAAATGGCTGAATTTAAACGATTTCTGAAAGCAAACAAAAAAAAAAAATTCAGATTCTAATTATAATTACATTTTGAAATACACCATTTTATATATACAGTGTAACTCGGATATGAGAGATTTTCTCTGGTCCCAAATTAGAGCCTGTGTTAATGTATATAAAATAGACCAAACCTGGATATAAGAGACTTCTTCTCCGGTCCCAACAACTCTCTTAAGCAACTTGGTTCCTAGAAACTGACGGCCAGACAACCTGTACAGATCATTTGATTATATTCGTGAAGACATGTGCACAATATGCTACAAGGTCCACAGACAACACTGCAGGTTTTGAATTCTGGTTTGACATTCTCCTATACTGGTTGCCATCCAAGGATATAGAAACCAGTCTGTCTGCTATTTACCCATAGCTGAGGGGAGAAGGCAGTTCATACCTTTCTCAAGGTTATTAGCATGTAAGTGACTGTAATGGATTCAACTAGAACTGGAATTTGGTTCTCTGATTCCTCAATCCAAGCCTCTATTCATTACTCAACATGCCTCCTCTTATATATATATATATATATATATATATATATATGCATGCAGTGGGATCTTATTTAGGCCCTCCTTTTTTCTAATTATTATATGGCACATTTAGAAAATAAAATACTTCCCTCCACTATATACGTAAGATACATAGATGACATTTTCGTTTAAGCTAAAAATATTGATCAAATTACACAAAAACAAATTTAAAAGTTACTCCATCCTCAAATTTACACTAGAACTCAATTCCTTTCCTTGATGTATTTATTGATTCCAGCACACACAAATTTACTACTTCTCTACATAGAAAATCCACTAGCATTAACTTGTCTTCTTAATTATAATAGTGAATGCCCCAATAATGTTAGCCATGGTTTTAAAAAAAAAAAAAAAAAAAAAAAACTTAATACAATGCACACAAATGGTATTTTCTTCTAAAATCAGATTCTATAAAGACTACATAAACCACACAACTAAATCCTCTACAAAAACCAATGTAGTGTGTCAATTTACATTCCTGTTCAGAGATTATATCTCTGACTAATAAACCCACTACATATATTGGTTTTACTACAACCACACTCTCCAATAGACTTACCTGTCACCTTTCCGATCTTAGTGATATTAGACAACATTTCTTAGAAAAACATAGCCATGTACATAATATTAGACAGCTATTAGTTGATAACACTACAAAACCCATGCATACAGTAAAAAGAACCTTCAGATATTGGAGGTCATCTACATTAAAAGAAAGCAACACCCGCCCAACAAGATTACATTTCAAGCTAGTGACAACACATTACTTTGTATGTAGACACATGGTCCTATCGTTAATATTTCAGTCTCTCACATGGTACAATGTCATAAAACAGCATCATGAATTTATGACCATTACTGTTGCATAGCATCTTCAATGGTGAATATCTTTAAATAGCCATATAACCACTTTGAAAAATGACTCCTGTGAGCCAAAAGCTTAGATCAAAGAACAGCATAATATTAAAATATATATCTGCAACTATTGGACAATTATTGTTTTAATTTCTCAAAAAATTAATGCAACCATACTAAGTTTAGAACGGCTCATGATCAAACATAATACACATTCGTTGTCAGTTGTATCTAACAATATGTTTGAATAATGTGTGTGTGTGTGTGTATGTGTGTATCAGGTCATCCCATAAGTTCTGTCCGAATTTTGAATAAAGAAAACAAGTGACCAAATGTTACATTTAATTACAGATTCAATCAACAATGTATTTTCCCTGATTTGTGACTTCCATCTATTGACAAGCTTACTAATTCCATTACTGTAAAATTCTTTTGGCTTTGATTCAAAGAACTCACAAATGTTGGTTTTAACCTCTTCTTGTGTTACAAAAGCTGTTTCTTCCAAATGATTCTGTAAGCTACGAAACAAATGGTAGTCTGAAGGAGCAAGATCGGGAGAATAAGGTGGATGAGGAATTTTCTCCCAACCAAGTTCTTTGATCTTTTGTGACATGATTCTTGCTGTGTGGGGTCACGCATTGTCCTGATGAAACATCACCTCTTTTCGATTCACTAGAGCAGGTTTCTTTTTACACAAAGCTTGGTTCAAACGCTCTAATTGCTGACAGTATATTTGAGCATTAATTGTTGCATTAGGTGGTAAGAATTCAAAGTGGATTATTCCTGGGCGATCCCACCAGATTGAAAGAAGAACCTTTTGCCCATGTAGTTCTCTTCTCGGCTGGGGTCCTTCCCC